CAATTTTTTTTTTTTTTTTTTTGATCGGATTGCACTCCACCTCAATGATCTGTTAAATTTATGGGATTTTTTTTTTTGAACAGATTATATTTATTTAAAGAAAATAATAGACCATTTATTTTAAAAATTATATTATTAGTTCATTTTTAAAATATAAATATAGTCGAACATGAAATTATGTCATCAAATCAACTTATTTTAGTTTATTGTTTTTACGTGAATGATTTTTTTGATAGATCTTATAAAATAAATAATTCAAATTAAATTTTATTTATTTTTTTTTTTTTATGAATGATCTTGTTATGGATCTTACAAAATCAACCTCGAGATGATCTTAACAATTTCAACAGTACCTTTCATCCCACTTTTTTTCCAGAGAAGTTAGGCTTCTCTTTAATTAGAGAAAAACAATTGAACTGTCCAATTTACTTTATGAGATTTATCTCAAGTTTTATATTGAAAACCTATATAATTCATTTTATAACACCATTCAAACGTAACATTTATGGAAAAAATTAAATTGATGAGATAAAGTGACTTTTGATGTTCAGGTTCCATTTATTTCATCCTAAAAAAAAAAAATTGAAAAATATTTTACTTATTTTTTATTGTTTGATTGGCCAAAAAATAAGTAAAATATTTTCCAACAAATTGAAGGCAATTGACTTCCAATTTGGATTTCCGTAAGTTACCATCGATATTTTCATCAATGGGCTGTAGTTCAAACAAGCTGAGTCGATATGCTTACAATGAAGGATCGATTTATCATTATTTGCACAAGCCTTGTAATGATTTTTTTTTTTATACATTTGTCAAATTTTTTATTAGGTTCATTACCAAACATCAGGAAAAGAAAAAAAATTTATTATTGAAATTATTTTACAAGTAAAAAAGTTTTACATAGAAAATAGTCTCAATCAACCAGATTTTTAGTAGGAATAATTTGTTAGGCTCCTCTGGTACTTTGGTGGTAGGTTTTTTCTATGAATTGGGTTAAATCAAGCTGGTAACTAATTACCCCAAAACCTGAGTCCACAAATGTTGTGATGACGCCGCAGAACATCCTTTTTTTTCTTTTTCAAAAAAAAAAATGTTAGGTAATATTTACAAAATTAATAATCTATCTATCTGTCTATATATATATATATATTATATAAGGAAAAATGTATTTTTAGTGAAGAGGTTGGTGAGAGTTTCAATATCTCATACTAATTTTCTTGATTTTCTTAATTTTAAATAATTAAGAAAATATCCATTGGCTATCTTTTATTTGATAATCTCACATCGGGAAAAGAATGAAAAAAAAATGAGTTGTTTTCCTCATATAAAGGGAATCTTAGGCTCCGTTTGGTAAGCCTCTCAAATTATAGTTCCACCCATTGATTTGAGTGTGGTGTTTGTTTTGAGCTTTCACTTATCCCATATAGTGAGAAGCCTTGTGAGAGTTTCAATGTCTCATACTAATTTTCTTAATTTTCTTAATTTTAAATAATTAAAAAAATCTCCATTGGCTAGCTTTTATTTGATAATCTCACATCGAGAAAATAACGAAAAAATTAAGTTATTTTACTTATATAAAGTGAATCTTATACTCTTATCCTATTTAATATTGTAATGTTGTGCATGTTTCAATTTAATATAATTTAAAATTTAAAAATTTTAATTAATTAATTATGACCTAGTCGATTAGGCTAAATCATTTTTGATTTGACTGATTCTTGGTTTAATCGCGATTTCAGCGGTTTTATCAAAATATATTGATTATATTTGTTTGATTCGAAATAAATTAAAGATTGATCTGATTAAAGATTGAAAGACTGAGATTGCTTGATTAGAAATAAGCTTTCCATCTAAATAATTGTTAACTTTTATTTTATAATCCCACATTAGAAAAAGAAAAAAAAAAGTGAGTTATTTCATTTATATAAAGTGAATCTTAATAGTGTAGTATTGTATATATTTCAATTCAAGACAATTTAAATTTTAAAATTAAAATAACATTTAAAAGTTTTAATTAATTAATTTTTACATAATTTGGTTGGTCATTTGACCTAATCGATTAGGCTGAACCATTTTGGGTTTCATCGATTCGCCGGTTTAATCGCGATTTCTCATACTGATTTGATTAATTTTAAATAAATAATTTTTTTTCCATTTTCTAACTTCTATTTAATCATATGAAAATAAAACTCTAACTGGTTTATGATTTATTTCATAGTTGCACATCGGGAGAAGAAGAAAAAGTAAAGCTTTTTCACTATCTATCTACATATTATATAAGGAAAATAAGATTTTTAAGGAAAAGTCTTCTAGGAGCTCAAAATCTTTATTTAAAAATTGTTGAATTTTCTTAATTTTAAACAATTAAGAAAATTCCCTTTAGCTAACTTGCATTTATCTTTTATTTTACAATCTACATTGGAAAAAGAAAGCAAAAGTGAATTATTTCACTTACATAAAGTGAATCGTATGCTCCCGTTTATATAAGCAAAATGAGATTTTTAGTGAGAAACTTTATGATCAATATCTCATACTTATTTTTTTTTATTTTCTTAATTTTAAACAATTAAGAAAATTCCTATTGGTTAGCTTCCATTTAACTTTTATTTTACTATCCCACATAGACGTTTTGATTTTAAAAATAATATTGTATGAGATTTTGAAACTCTCATAATATTTAGCTTTAAAATAATTACAATCCCACATTGAGAAATGAAAGAAAAAATGAATTGTTTTACTTATATAAAGTGTTATAATCCCACGTCGAGAAAAGAAAGAAAAAGTGAGTTGTTTCACTTATATAAAATGAATCTTATAAAGAGGGTTTTAAAGGAGAAGCCTTCTAAAAGTTCAAAACCCCTATTTTAAAATTATTGAATTTTTTAAATTTTAAACAATGAAAAAAAATTTCATTGGTTAGCTTCTATTTACCTTTTATTTTACAATCTTAAATTGAGAAAAAAAATGAAAAAGTGATTCAGTGTAATTGATTTGCTAGTTTAACTGAGATTTTAACAGCTTTATCAAAATATATTCGTTAAATTTGTTTGATAGCTTTATCAAAATAAATTGGTTAAATTTGTTTGATTCGAAATAAATTAAAGATTGACCTAATTAAAGATTAAACAGCTAAAATTGTTTGATTCAAAATAAACTTCCTACCTAAACAATTGTTAACTTTTAAATAATTAAGAAAATCTCTATTGATTAGGTTTTATTTAATTTTATTTTATAATCCTACATCAAGAAAAAAAGGAAAAAATAAATTGTTTCACTTATATAAAAGAAATCTTATACTCTTATTTATATAAGTAAAATAAATTTTTTAGTGAGAAATCTTATGATCAATATCTCATACTAATTTTTTTAATTTTAAACAATTAAAAAAATTTCAACTAACTAATTCTATTTAATTTTTATTTTACAAAATATAAAAAATTAAATATAATTATTATATTTTTATTAAATAATATATTATTTTTTACCGTGCATAGTTTAAATTACGGAGATGTACCGAAAACAAACATAACTGATCTGAAGAGTTGAAACAGGATCCAGTCCGTTTAAAGAAAGGAAGAAATGGAGAGGGCCCACAATGACCAAACGGTTGGCAGGCTGGAGTAGAGGCTTTCGGAACGAACAGACCAGAATTGCGCGTGGGCCCCCCTTATTCTATTTCCTTAACGCGCTTTCTCTGGGCCCCACACACACCCATCCTCGCTTTCTCTCTTCACACACACACAAACTGATCGAATCATTTCGTTTCTCGCACACATAGAAGCTCAACCATCTTCCTTTCTATCTCTCTTTCTCTTCTCTAATGCTTATCTCTCTCTCTCTAAAACCCTCACCGACGGTGAAGCATCTCTCCTCATCCTGATTCATGCTTATAGGAACAAGACTCTGTTTTTTGTTTTTATTTTCGATTTTGGAGCTTACTCATTGATTACAATTTGTCAATATATGTAGATTTTGCCTCTCTGTCTCTCTATCTGTGTGTATATATATTGATTCTATGTTGTTATCTGCATCGGAGACCGCATGTTGGTCTCTCTTCTTGTTCAACAACAACTTCTTCATGGTTGCCCCCACCGCCATAGCCATAGCAGCTTATTAGTGGTGGTTGTTGTTTTCTGCGAGCATCGGTAATGTCGCAGAAGCGGCAGCAAGAGGACTCCAAGGGTCGTTCGGAGGGCAATGGGTCCGATGAAAAGCGTCGCAAACATCCTTCTTTCAGAAGGTCTCTCTCTCTCTCTGAAACAAATTGGATTGGATGCGATTTGTATTCTGAAACTGTTTGATTTTATTTCGTTTGATTACTTTTGGATTGGAATTGAGTGTGTTTGTGAAAATGGTCTAATGGGCTCTCTGAATTCTATGGGGGAAGAAGGAATGAATAAAAATAGAATAAAATTAGTCCAATTTGGGGTTTAGGAAATCATTGCAAGAAGTGGGCGTACTGTTGATTTTAAGAGGTTTTGAATAGGTTGGCGTTAAAGAATTTGTGGGTTTTGGTTGGAGAATTGTGTGTTTGAAAACTTGTTATGTTGGTAATGCTAGACTATTGCTTAACATTATTATTATTATTTTTTTACCTTGTAAGAATGTGCGATTTCTATAGTACAGATGAAGTGGCTGTGGACGAGTGTCACCATGTAGTCTTCTTACTATTGAGAAAATGAATGAGTTTGCTTTGACAATTAGTCACTATAAGATAGTGTTTGGTTCACTTGAATTGAGTAGAAATGGAATGATCATTCCATCAAAACGTTCATTTCTATTTTTAGTTGACTGAAAAAAAATGAAAATTACCTTGCAAATGGAATCATTACTCACCATTGTAAAGGAAGGATCATTCCATAGGAAATTTCAAGGAATGACCATTCAATTTCATTCTAGTGAACCAAATGGAGCATAAGTATTTTATGACGAATTTTATTTCTTTGATTTCTAACCCTTTGTTTGATACATTTTTAGCGTGGTACTGGAGGTGATGAACTTGCGCAAAGTCCAGCGTTACATGGAGCCAGTTCTGGAACCCTTGATTCGTAAAGTTGTAAGTGCAAATCCTCAAATTGTTTCGGTTTTTTCGTTACAATTATGAAATCCAATGTGTTTTTTTGTCAGTGTTGTTCTTATTCAAGAATTGAGCTAAAAATGTTTAGGGAAAATTATACTTTACTTCCCCATTTATGATCCAGTTGCACTTTATCTCTGTCTTTTAAAAATAACCACGTAGTGCGTACCTTTTATGCTATTTTGACTGCAATGTAATGTTAACTCCATTCATGATAGTTAAAAAATAACCTTAATAACCCTCAGCTATTGTCTCTTTTTCTTTTTTTGTTTACACTATTTTTTTAGCTTAGGGGTTGTTTAATCGCTTATTAATCGCTTAAATTATATATTAACGCAAATGGCCTTAATTTTATAATCTAATTTCTAACCTTTTAAAATAATTTCGCTTATTAATCGCTTAAATTATATATTAACGCAAATGGCCTTAATTTTATAATCTAATTTCTAACCTTTTAAAATAATTTCTAATTTATCAACAACTTTAATTACATATATTATATATACTTACTGGTATACATACGGAGGTGAGAGAGGAGTTATACATACACAAATGCCATTTTCACAAAAAAAAAAAAAAAAAAAGGATCTCTGTCATTCTTTCCCGTTACAAAACCTCACGCACAGTTTCATTCCAGTGATAATTCTATGGTCTTCAATTGTTGCTTATGAAATTGATAAAACCCAATAAACACACTACTCCAAATACATGAACTAAAAACTGAACAGTTATCAGATTAAGCCACAAATGCTAATCGTGCTTCAATACTCGGTAGAAATCATAGGGAAGCAATAAATGACCCTTATGGAAAATTCATCTATAATAAAAATTTATTCAAAAGCTAACAAAAAAGTATCTGTAAATTTGAAGTTAATGAGATGACACTAGAATTATAGATGCTTGGAAGGAACTATGAAAACTTGGAATCTAAGACAAATTCCAAGGATCTTTTGTCTCCAAATATGGGTTCTCACATTACATGTCATAGTGAATTACTCTCAGTGGGAAATCTCTATAACCATTTTCCAAGAAGGGAAATGTTTCTAGCCACAATGTTGCCAATGGCTAAACCTCCTTTCTCCTTGGGAAGATAAACTATCTCCCTTTTCACTAAGTGATCCTTCTTGCCTTCATCCTTTCCTGCCCAATAGAAACTCTCTCATCAATTTTTCAATTTCTTTGCAATCCTAATGAGTGTCTTGAGCAATGACAAACAGTAAATGGGGGGATACTACTTATCACATATTGCATTGAGGTATTTCTACCCCCTCGATAGCAAAGCTTTCTTCCACCCCTCCAATCTTTTGTGATGTATAGGTGTTTTTTATGATTTAGTTTGCGAGATGGAGGTGCACATTGTAGAGGACTACTTGTCCTCTTTGTGTATTTCTTCTTTACTTTAATGTAAAATATAATTACTTTTTGTTGCCTATCAAAAAAAAAAAAAAAAGTGAAAAGTGAATATTCACACTTCTTCACACTGAACTTGAATGTGTCGAAGAATGATATTTGAATGTGCAATGAAAAGAAAGGGAAGGAAATCTGTAAGTGGGATTTTTCAAGAATGGAATGGGAAGATTTCTATCTTAGTATTACTTTCAGTTGAATGTAAAGATTTGTAGAAACTAGGGTTAGGATTAAGAAGAGAGAAAAGAAGAAAAGAGAATATGTAGAAATTAGGTTTTGGGTGCTTAAGCTAACCCTTCACCTCAGCACTTATTTATATTAAATTCAAGTGGTACAATATGACAAGGGCAAATTACACTAACGGTCCCTATAGTTTGGGGCTTGAGTCATTTTGGTTCCCAACTTTTCAATTGTGACACATTTGACTCAGAATTTTGAATCTTGTTTCAAATAAGGACAATTGAATATACTATTGCTTAATTTCAAAGAAAAAATCATCAATTTGATAAAATGTAAACTAACTTGATAAAAATAAATGTCAAAAAAATATTTTTGAATGTTTAAAAATTATTTCTACCCACTAAAGATTAAATTATGTAAAATTGTTAAATCTTTTAGACATTTATATATTTATTTATTTATTTATATCAAATTAATTTTTACTATGTGTTTGGATGATGATCATATAATGGGTAGTTTTTATTTTCATTAAATTAGTTTCTATTTTTTCAAAAGTCAAATATGGCGACAACTTTAATATCATTATTAAACCAATCTATTAAATCAAAAATCTAAAATTGAAAACATTTCATATATTAAATATATCGATTACACATTATAATCCTAACAACCACCCATTATATGGTCATCATCCAAACGCATAATAAAAATTAATTTTGTAAAATAAATAAATAGATAAATGTGTAAAAAATTTATCAATTTTACATGATTTTATCTCTGATTGGTTGAAATAATTTTTAAAAATTAAAAAATATTTTTTTGATATTTATTTTTGTCAAATTAGTTTATATTTTATCAAATTGACGATTTTGCCCTTAAAATTAAGCAATAGTATCTTCAATTGTCTTTATTTGGAATAAGATTCAAAATTTAGGATAAAATGTGTTACAATAAAAAAGTCAGGGACCAAACTGATATGAACCCCAAACTATAGGAACTATTAGTGTAATTCGCCCATTTGACAATAATAACCCTCATTATAGAATTAAATAACACACGACTATTCTAACACTCCCCCTCAAGTTGGAGCATAGAGATCGAACATGTCTAGCTTGGATGACAGGCGTTGAAATACAGGAGGAGCTAATGTTTTAGTAAGAATATCACCCAGTTGATCATCAGACTGAACATAGGGAGTCACAAGCTGTTTCCATAATAACAAATTCCGAATGAAGTGACAATCAACCTCAATGTGCTTGGTGCGCTCATGAAACATCGGATTTTTGGAAATAAAAATAGCCGCTTGATTGTCACAACACATGGACATAGGAGTTGGAACAAGAAGTTCAAAATCCTGTAGAAGAGATGAACCCAGAGCATCTCAGATTCAGTATGGGCCATAGCATGATATTCAACCTCTGCACTGGAGCGAGCAACAACATGTTGTTTTTTACTTCGCCAAGTAATCAGGTTATCACCAACAAAGGTACAATACCTAGAAGTGGAATGGTGATCAGTACGACTACCAGCCCAATTAGCATCACTAAAGCCAGTGACATGCAAAGAAGTAAAAGGACGATATAGGAGGCCTCGTCCAGGGGCACTCCTCGGGTAACGCAAAATACGAACATGAAAGCGAGGATGGTGAACAAAAATAAAATGATCAGAAGTGGAACGCTTAGACCTATAGGCAAGCATAACAATGCTGAAGTGGTTAAACCAAGCACGTGGAGATTGCTTCCGTCCATACAAAGCCTTTCGTAGGCGATAAACAAGGTGCTCATTACCAGGCACAACATAACCAGGGGGTTGATCCATATAGACCTCCTCTTGCAAATCGCATGGAGAAAGACATTTTTGATGTCAAGTTGATATAAAGGCCAAGAACAATTGACAACAACAGAGAGAAGTATCCGAATGGAATTGAGACGAGCCACAGGAGAAAAGTCTCAAGATAGTCAACACCATAGGTTTGGGTGTATCGCTTGGCAACCAAGCGAGCCTTAAGGCGTTCAACAGAGCCATCAGGAAGATACTTAACGGTATAAATCTAACGGAAATGGCAGAAATCCAAGAACAACTTTCCCATGAAGAAGATGACGCCATTGAGCAAGCCAGAACAGCTCTGCAGCAACTCCTCAAAATCCAGCAACTCAAATTGGAGGCCATTGCCAGAGCTGCCACTAACGACAATCAGTACGGAGATAAGCTACCCGAAGTTCATCAACAGACATGTGAACTGAAGGAGATCGATAATGAGTTATTCGATGTCGTCATGCTGATGAGGTTATTCCGTTACTGATAAGCTCAAAGTCTTAATCCCCATTATTGATCAACAGTGTCTGTCAATAATGCTGATCAATAATGCTTGAAGAATAAGGAAGAACGTGGTGGGTTCCCGTGTTTGTCCCAGTGTCTGTCAAATAATATTCCACTTCAATCACTACTCAGTTGCCCACTGAGAAAAGCTGTTGGAATATTAGTTTGTCGTATGTAAGATATTTTCAAGATAATGGTTTTCAGTCCTGTAATGATAAGATTCTTGATAAGGTTTGCGATAGTGCGACGATGAGGCCCAATGAGCACTCGGCACGTATCCCCTAACTTTATTAAGCTTATCCCTTATGAGTCTATATTGGAGACTTCTATAATCACGTACAAATTGTCATTCAAACTCGAGGATATGAAAATTGGCAAGGAGGTGAAGCCAATCTGTTGATCACACGAGGATTAGCTACAAAGTCAGGAAGATTGTTCATAGGAGAAGAGTTATCTTCTAAGCTATGGTCAAAAATGCCTGGTGACCTTGGAGAACGGATCAAGAAAGGATTTGCCGAACGACATGGAGCAAACACAATTGGCGTCGTTCCTCGAATTCTTTATGCTTACAAGTACCTCGAAGCTGAGTGCAAGAATGCGGCATTCCAGAAGTCACTCAGAAATTTGGACTTCTGCAGGGAAATTCCTATCCCTGGGTACTACAAGGAACCAGAGAAGAAGTACGAAATTCGAAAAGCTACCACCTATAAAGGGAAGCCACATAATTCTCATGTCCGAATTGACAAGAGAAAGTATTTGCAAAAATCCAAACATTGTAAATGCTATTTATGTGGAGAAGAAGGACATTATGCAAGAGATTGCACAAAGGAGAAGAAAAATGTCAAGAGGGCGGCTTTGTTTGAAAATCTGGGTATCCCTGACGATGTGGGGTTGCAACTTTATTTCCCCTTGCCCAATTGTTGAGCCCAAGAAATCCATCTGAACAGCTGCGATCTTCATTTTTGTTGGGCTCAGGATTAGCCCATTCTTCTTACAGATTTCAAGCATGGACTGGATATGCTTTGCATGTGATTTTTCATCAGGAGAGAAGACCAAAATATCATCAATGTAGA